TTCCTGCTGTAGGTTCAGAAATCTGGATGGGATAAGCTAGAGAAGATACTGCCATCCTCTCAAATGCTGACACTGACAAGAGAGCTTCTCCCAGGGATATCCCCCACAGGCCTAGGCTTCATCTCTGACCCGCTGTCAGGGTTCGTGTGCACTAAACTCATGGTCAGCATTGTTTTTTATGGGAAGCATGATTTATATAACACTCTCTCTGGAATAAACAGTGAGTTGTACCCTCTCCCCACCCCTTATGGCCATGCCTTAATAGAAATGAGGGAGTATTCAGAGGAGCTGTGAATAAGCCTATCAGGATTAGATTATGGCCCTAAGGGCCGGTTGCTTCCCTCAAGCAGTGGACAGCCTCCAGCATAGGGAACAGGGCTGTTGTGGGTAGGGGATTTGGCCCAAGTACTGACAGCAAAGCTGGCATGTACCAGAGAATAAAAACTGTGATCAGCCTAAAAGCTAATTCTAGCCTCTCATTAGGAAATAAAGATGCAATCTTTCTTAGGCTTCTCTTAGAAAGTTGATCCTCCCTGATTTTCTCCTCTGTTCCATGCCATGAATTTCACACTTACAATCTTCCCCGATCCAGGGTCCAGCCAGCCTTTTGCTAGGGCAGAAAAATCTCCCTGGCATTCCTCTTTAACTGCATTGCACACCCTCAGCCTGTGTATCTGCTATATAGCTCTACTCTGCTGTCATTTGCTCAAGTTATGATTTTTTTTCCTGCTTTTCTTTTTTTCCAAGCCTTCCAATACTGCTTTAAAGCCCCAACAGCCCTTATTTCTTCTGCCTCCTGGTGCCTCTGCCCTTCCCACCCACTACCCTTGGTAAGGCACCCTGGTAGAGAAAAAGGGGTAGGTGGAGAATACTTTAGAAAGGTTACCCTCTTGGCCCTGGCCAGTTTGGCTCAGCGGTTAAAACGCTTTAATCGGCCTGAGGTCCAGAGAGACCCGGGTTCGGTTCCCGCTAAGGGCACGTACTTCGGTTGCAGTTTGTCCCCGGCCCTGGTTGGTCGTGCGGGTGGCAGCCACTTGATGTGTCCCTTCACGTCGATGTTTCTTTCTCTCTCTCTCTCCCTTCCTCTCTCTCCCTCCCACTCTATCTGTACAAAAAATGGAAAAATATACTCGGGTGAGGATTAAAAAAAAAAAAAGAAAGGTTACCCTCTTGGTAAGGGACCAAGGCTTCCTAGGTAGATGTATATTGTCCCAGCCTTCAGCTTGTGCACTAACAGCAGCAGCAGCTTTCCTTTCTTCCTGCTCACCACAAGGAAAGATAATCTGTTCCTAGACACAATGCCTCGGGTCACACTAGAGCTGGGTTAGGAAACAGAGCACAGGGCAGTATCTTCCTAGGAAGAAAAGTATATAGCCCATCTTTCCCACAGTGCTTGGGTTTATAGATCCCACTGTCCCACTGTCCCTGACTTCTGGATAATCATACTTCATCTCTGAAATAGCTCAGTTAGCCTTTTTTTCTCTCTTTGGGTTTGGATGAGATTCAAGAATAAACGTGGTGATGAGGACTGGGCAGTTGGCCTATCCCCTTAAGTATATCATGAAATAACTAACTACCAACTATTTATCATTACTATATGATGTCACTGTTGTGTGATTTTATATAATTTCAATTCTCACAGTAGCCTATGAAGTAGTGAGGTAGATTCTAATATTATGTCCATTTTACAGACAAAGATACTGAGTATATTTCAAAAGTCACACATCTAGTAAGTGATGGAGCTGGGATACAACCCAGGAAGACTGGGTCTAGGTCTACTTTAAAGTACTGTGCTGCTGTTGCCCTGGCCGGTTTGGCTCAGCGGTTAGAGAGTCGGCCTGCAGTCTGGAGATACCCGGGTTCAGTTCCCGCTAAGGGCACGTACCTCGATTACAGTTTGTCCCCGGCCCTGCTTGGGTGGTGCAGGTGGCAACACTCGATGTGTCCCTTTCACGTTGATGTTTCTCTCTCTCTCTCTCCCTCCCACTCTATCTGAACAAAATATGGAAAAATGTCCTCGGGTGAGGAAAATAAATAAATAAAGTACTGTGCTTTATTGCTTTGCAGATATGTATGTTCCACTGGTCTGCTCCTGAATTCTTTATCCCTGCTCCAAGAAGCAATTTACTTCATTTTAATTTAGAGCAAAGACAAAAACAACCTTAATCCACTGCCCAAACCATTCTTCCCTCTGAGGGGAAGGGTACTTTCCACACGGATGGGGACCAAGAGAGGTGCTTTGAGACAAAAGCTGTCTTGCAGTTTCGCTGAGGCAGGATTTAGAAATGGCGTGAACGGTGCCTGTATTAGCCAATGGCATAGAGCACTGAGTGTCAATAGAGGAGATAAAATCAGACATATGTTTGGATATAAATGTTCTCTCCCCCCACCCCTCTCTAGTCGTAAGTCCCTGCTGCTTTGTTGCAATAAAATGTTAGAGCATTAATTGTGGACTTGGGCCCCCTGAGGTAGTAGCCTGCCTGGGCTGAGTAAGGCCCCCTCAGCCCTTTCCCAGTCTCTTCTATCTCCTCTGAATGAAGCCAGAGCTCTACTACTAATGGCCATGGACTCTGGACCTCACCCAGTCAGTTGCTGGCCTCAGTACATGTTAAACAGCCATGATAAAGCTAGTGTCTCTAGGCCTCAGAAACTAGCCTGTCTGCTCTGCCTTCACTAAGAAGAGGATGCAGCATTGCACTGAAGAAAAGTCCCTGGAGCAGATGCTGGGAATGACAACTCAGAGTGGCACTTACAGAGCTAGGGCTGGGGTAAATATAGCGGAGGGAAGGAGTTAAGGAGACCGCCAGAGTCTGACTGTAGAACCAAATGGAAACCACTCTGCTCTGCAGAACTTGACCTGATAGGTGCTTTAACACCTTTGTCAGTCTTCTCCGCAAACATCCAAGGCAGGAAGAAGGCCAAGCTGCCTTATCTACTTCACCCTTTCCCTAGCAGCCGTCACCCTTTGGGATCCTGCGATTTCTGTGTGCCACTGAACCTGAGAATCAGGAAGCTCTTTCATGCACTGCTGAGAATCTAGCTCCATAGTGAGCGCACAGTTGCCCTTGGGCCAGCTGTGGGGCCCCTGTGGTTATAATTCTGGGCAGGCCTTGGAGGGCCGCAGAGCCAGTTCTGAAGGAGATCAAGCAGCTCTAAGAGGAAGGAGAAGAGAACACAGGTATCTGTAAGAATGTCCCATTTTCACTACTTACTGGATAAGAAAAGAAATGTATTCTTGATAGCCAGTAAGGGCCTGAGTGAGAGTACATTTGGCTTGGGAGTCAAGAGACCTGAGTTTCAGTCCTACCTCTTCCACTAACTAGAATGGTGACCTTGAATATATCTTTCAGTTTCTCTGGGGTTTGGTTTTCTGGATGGTAAAATGTGAAGGGATTAGACTAAATGATTTTTTATGGCCTTTAAAAAATTCTATAATGAAAATTCTCTAACAGCATAGAATCAGCAGCAGTCTCTTCCTCTAATGTGTTGCTAAAATGAGCCCCCTGAAGTGCTACCAACCCATGTTCCTTTCTCAGGTAACAAACCCTACAGCCTGGCCAAGCTCTAGGATGAGTCACTAACACAACATTAAAGGCTGCTCTTTCAGTGCTTGTGGGACTCTTCTGAAGAGCTGTCCCAAGTGCCTGCTGCAAAGGAGGGTTGCTGCTCTAAAAGCTGAAATGGTGCTCAGGTCAAGGAACAGGCTCAGTGAGGAAAGGAACTACCCCCTTCGAGCTCTGAGAACATTTATACCCAGGAACCAAACATCTCAGTCTCCCCCAACTCCTCTGAAGTTCCTTCTGGAAAACACTTCTTCCTCAGATTCCAAGACCTAAATTTGCTCAGTCCTCACGACAAATGTATCTGTTCTTAGGGCTCTTTCCCACGAATGTTTTAGGCCTATTTTTCTACCTCTCCTCTCAGACCTTTGTTCAGCCACAAACCCTTTCTTATTCCAGAGATACTGCATAATTCCCTGGCTTCCCAAATAGCTGTCAAAAAAGGGGGGGGGGCGGTGTTAGGAAATTTCTGCAGCCGCAATTTCCACAATTGCCTCTGAAACTGTTCTAAACAGCCTAAGTTGTATCATGTGAAACAAGGAAAGGGGGTGAGTTCTTGCTTTTTCAAGTGGCCCTAGCCAAGTCCCACCCTTGACTCTGCCGCAGTTTTCTCTTATTGGAGGTAGGAAGCCTAGAAACATCAGTGGCAGTTTCTAACTGTGTGCCCAGGCATATATGCTTCCACAAACACTGATTCCCAGAAATGGTGTATAGACACCCAGGAGGATTAAGAATTGGCCCTTTCTTAGCCATTTCTTAGCCAACTGCTGCAAAGTGCTGCCTGCCTCTCTCCCTGTTCAGTGCCAGAGAGATCACACCCACTCAGTCCGGGTTCCCTGCATTAGTATAAACACTAGCGCTGAAGAGACGCAGGGTCCCAGTTCGTGCAGCCTCCCTAGACATCATACTCAGTAGCATCAGGAGACAGACACCCACCATCACAATACATGTTTGACTATTTAACACCCAGAGAACCGAAGCAACACTGCCTGTGGGAAATTTAAGCCAAACAACAATTATTGCAGACCTCTTAAATCCAGATCCCCCAGGGTCCCTGGGTAGAACTGGTGCTGCCTGAGCAGCTTCTGCTGAGGTGGCATTTACCTTCTGGCCAGGCCCCAGGAGCTGAAGCTGACCCATTTCCCCTGCTTTTCCAGGGCATAAGGAATTTGATTCTACCCCCAACAAAGCCAGGGACTAACACACTTAGATCATGGAAGGTGCACTAGAATCTGGGCACTTTTATTTAAACTAAGGAAAGGTTGTTGACAGCTTTAGCATTTTCCCATACTTCAGAAAAATTTAACATTGTTTTCTCCTCCCACCTTACCTCTCCCCTCCCTTTGCTTTTTTTCTTTAAATAGAAATGACTTCCGTCAGTGCTCATAAGAATTTGTAAGTTCAGGGTCTTACTCAAGTTAACCCTTTGGGAACATTGAATTAAAAATTGAACAATATTTATTAAAATACAAAAATACACTTTCTCACATTACAATCAGTGTTCTTTTGTTGACATTCCCCCCACCCACCCCAACCCCTTTCAAATCTGAACCCTTTATTTCCTTTTAAAGCTAAAATAATAAATGAAAGAAGTTACAGCATTAAATGGACCAGAATAACAGAGATCTCTGCCTTCCCCATCCATGCCCACCCTTTACCTTCCACCTCCTCCTGAGGTAGGCCTGGGAGAGGGAAGCCTTTCCCCCGTTGTGCTACATCCAACAGGACTCCATGCAGAACTTATGTGTACATGTGTATCACTTTTGTTTTTTCTGTGGATTTCACATATTTTTTGTGAACCATCCTGGTTGGGAAAGGCTTCATTTTACTTTAAATGAGCCTGTGTCCTTGCTCGCTCTCCTTTTTCTTATCTACTCATGTTCTGTCCCCTCCCATCACAACAACCAGTTGACATCAGCTGTAATAATCCCTAATGAATCAGCATTTAGAATAGTCACCAAATCACAAGCCGGAGAAAAGCTTCCACTCCCCCAAGCTCCCCACCCCCAGCCTCTTCCCTCTCCACTTTAAAACAAACAAAACCATTTTCAAAAATCATAAAATGCCATTATTGTCTACAATCATTTGTCAGATACTGGGAACAACAGGTGGACATGGCAACAATGCTAATTTATGGCCTCCTGTGAATACATTCTCCCTGCTTCTGCTCTCCCTTCCCACCCCCCCTCTGTTGCCGCACCCACTTCAGGGGCCTCCTCCTCCTCATGGGAAACCCTGAATATAGACACATGCCTCGCACAGATTGGGTTAAGCCCAACTGCAGGAATCTGGTGCACTGTGAAAGCATTTGACTGAGAGCTACACCAGCTCTCTTCCTTCTCTGCTCCTTCCTGAAGCGCTCTATCAGGCGGGGCACACGTGTGTCCCAGTGCATAAACCAAGGAGACTTGTGCACATGGACAGTTATAAAGACTCAGCCCCTTTAAGGATTCATTTGAATTTTGGTGGTTTTCCTATTTAAAATACATTTACAGATCTATCTTCCACTTGGCCTTTGAAGAAAAAAATTATTGCCTCTCAACATTTTAGCACAGTACAAATTCTTGGTGCTTTTTTTTTTTTTGTATTTTTTTTTTAATAAGATAAATCTGCAAAGACAGCTCTCAGCTTAAGAAAGGTGTCTATAGAAATGGATATTCCTGTATCCTTTAGAGCATCTTCTAAAAAAAATGACAGATTCATTCTACCCCCACCCCCATCCCTCAGCAGCCCACACCCTACCTCTTTACGGATATTTGTTGATGTCTTAGTTTGTTTTATCTTAGCAGTTTCAATCTTATACCAGAAAGCCCTTCTGGCAACATAGCAAGTTGGCTTGTGGCCTCTACCCCACATCATTCCCGAGAACCCCACTCCCTGTTTAAATAGAACTTACAAATTAGAAAATAGTTTTGTTTTGATTTTTTTGTTTTTAAATTTTAATATAATCTGTTTCTTTTACCAGCCCATAGATTTAATATATAAGCATATACAAGAAAAAGTCTCACCCCACTCTGTACAAAAGTTGCTTTTTTTTTTTTTTTTTGTGCATTCTATTGCATTTTATAAGTTTTTTGGGGGAGGGGGAGTCATATTTGAGTTTCCTGTACCTTGTCCTTAGTATGGGTCTGAATTATATAAGGTTCAGAGATAGTGGTGACTGTGGGGTGCAGAGAGTTCCCCAGGCTGTTTTCTGTCCAGTGGGCCCCATGTGCTGGTTTGTAGGTGTTGTAGTTAATATGGTCATGAATTGTGGGCAGCACTACTGCCCCCTCACCTGATACACCGGATGGAGCGGCTGTTGCTGCTGAGGATGCCGTTGCTGGGATGTCTTCATCCACTTGGATAATCTCAACTGTTCGGGCGGCTGTGACTGTACTCCTCTGCTGGTGCCGCTTACGAAGTTTATAGAAGACAATCAACATGGCGGCAGCTAGCAGAGTCACTGCCACGAAGCAGCCAATGATGATCTTGGTGGTCTTCATGACTTCATCCAGGCTGGTCTGCATCTTGTCATTGGTGTCTGTCGCGGGTACTGCCACCTGCTTGGGCACACGGGTGGTCTGAATGAGCACCGTGGTAGAGGTGGTATATGCCGGCTGGTAACCAGTGGACGTGGTAGGAACAAGCTTGTATTTGCGTGTTGTATCCTCAGGCGAGATCTCAGTGGTCTCCACTGTGACCGTGGTGAAGAAGCTATAGTTGGAGGTGTTGAGCTCGGCCGTGCTCACATTGAGGTAGGCCGAGGCATTGGAGTTGCCTGCCACGTTGGTCACCATGCACGTGTATACCCCAGTGTCTGAGAGCAGCACGTAGGAAAAGTTCAAGGTGCCATCATTGAGGACAGAGATCCGGGGGTGGCGGGAGGCGTGGCTAAGCACTGTTCCATTGGGCAGCAACCACTTCACAGAGGACATAGGGGGAGTCCGACACTTAAGTTCCGCCATCCGACCCTCAGAGATATTGAGGTCCCGAGGTGCATCCATGATGAAGGGGGCAGAGCACTGGAAGGAGGCCTGGTCCACCTCCACCAGGTAGCGGCCTCGCATGTGCAGGGGAGCATGACAGCGGCCACAGCAGGTGGAATTGGTGGGTATATACTCCCGAAGCCACCACGCTAGCCACAGAATGTCACAATCACAGTTCCAAGGATTGTGGTGTAGGTGCAACTCCACCAAATACCTCAGTGGGGTGAAGAGGTCATGGGGCAGAGAAGAGAGGTTATTGTGGGCCAAGTTGAGTTCCACAAGTGAGGCCAGACCATCAAAAGCATTCCGCTCAATCAAGCTGACCTGTGAGTTCATGACCCATAGCTTCTTGAGGGAGCTTAGGCCATGGAAGGAGCCAGGCCTGATTTCAGGGAAGTGGTTCCCTGACATCTCCAGCTCCTCCAGCCCCACCAGGGGGGTGAGATTAGGCATATCTTTAATGTTACACATGCCCAAGTTCAGGTACTTGAGGTTGAACAACCCCTCAAAAGCCCCCTCAGAGATATACTCCAGCTTCTTGAGCTCTCCCAAGTCCAGGCGCATGAGGGAGGGCACCCGGTTGAAGGCATAAGAGGGGATGCTTTCTATGGGGTTGTTTCGCAGCCAGAGCTCCCGCAGCTTGGACAGATACTCAAAGGCCCCACTGGGGATGACTGTCAGCCAGTTGTCAAACAGCTCCAGGGTGTTGAGGCTGGCTAGGCCATTGAAGGCCCCCACCTCAATCTGCCGGATGGAGTTCCTGCCCAGCTGCAGGACCTCCAGGTGGTGGAGGTGTCGGAAAGTGTCGGCCTGGATCATCTGGATATTGTTTTCCATGAGGTTGAGGTACCGGGTGTTGGAGGGAATACCCTGGGGGACCTCAGAGAGACCCCGGCGGGTGCACACCACCTTGCTGAACTGGTTACTGCACGAACAGACAGACGGGCAGTTTTGGGGCCCGGCGGAGGCGGCAGCAGCGATGGCTGCACACAGAATCCACACTTGCGCGGTGAGGTAGACGACCGGGAGCAGGACGGCATTCCAGGTGTGGTGCACAGTTACCTGCCACAAGAGCTTCATGGTGTGGCACGTTCATAATTCACCATCGCCTGGGATTTTGGCTCGGAAAGGAGAACCAGCCCTACCCCGGCTTAAGTGAGCTAGGAGCGCCTCTTTCCATCTGGAGAAGGAGGTGGGGAGGGGCGATTAGAGAGACGGAGCAGATCTGCCAGAAATATGCCAAACTCTAGAGTGGCCCCTCGGCTCCCAGCCCCCTCAAGGCAAGCCCTCGCAAAGCTGAGACTTTCTCCCCCCCACTGCAGCCATCCCCACCCAATTATTCGTTGTCACCTACCTCGGAAGGGAGGAATTGGCGTGGTGTCCTTAAGCGGTCTCCCCAAGAGCTGGCCACCTCGTTCCCATTCTTACTTCTTAGTTGTAATTAACAAAAGGGGAAAGTAGAGGGGGCGGGGAGGGGGGAGGGGAGGGGGAGACAAAATGGCTTCTAGTAAATCCAGAGCCGGCTACGCCGGAGCAGCGGAGTTGAGGCTCCGGGGAGAGGAGAGCCAAGGCCCGGCGGGCTATGCAGGTGCATGCCCCCCCCTCAGCCTGAGGAGTGGCGCCACCAGCGCTTCCCGGCTTTGTCCTTGGACCCTGGCACCGGCTTGCACCAGCCTAGGGGGAAGCCGCTTCATGCCGGAGTGTGCTCCGGCGCCCCCAGCCCGCTCCCGGGGCTGCGCCCAGGCGGGAGTGAGGGGGCGCCTGCAGCCTCCCAGGCCGCGCGCTCGCTGGCTGCTGCGCTGCCCGCTCTCCTTGTGGCAGCCGCTCCAGCAGCGGCGACTGATGCAGTCGTTAGCTCGCGGGGCTGCGAGAGTTAAGAGGCGGTGTCGGGGCTCCTGCACCCTCCCCAGACACACACCCCCTTCTTTCCTCGCCTCTTATGGGTTAAAGAGACACAGTCTGGGTCGGCTTTCCCAGTCCGCTGTCTGCGGGAGCGAGGAGCAGTAATCCGGCCAGCCCCCTGAGGGGCAGCGGCGTGGAAGATGCGCCCGGACCAGATCCGCCTGCGGGAGAAGCGCACGGCCGCCGGGGCGCGCAGGCCCCTTCGGGGAGTCCGGGGGCGGGCTCGGGGCGGGCGGCAGCGGCCGCAGCCCCGGGCAGCGCGTAACTGCCCGCCGCAGCCGGGCCCGGCGCGCCTCCGGCTCTGGCTCTGTGCAAAGCGAACGAGTTCGGGGCTTCGGCTCTCGGCGCCTTCAGTGGCTGCGCTGCCCGCGAACTGCTGCGGCGGCCCGAGCGCTGGCGGCGGCGGCGGCGTGAGCAGCGGGGGTCGCGGCTGCGGGAAACGTTCCGAAGCCCGGGAACATGGTCCCCTCTTACTAGTGGCGGCGGTGGCGGTGGCAGCGGCAGCGGGGCCCCTGCGCTCGGCGCCCACGGTCTCCTCCTCGCGCCGGGCTCGCGGTGTTGCAGGCAGCAGCCACGCAGACTGCTCTCTCATCCTTTTGTCCTTCAGTCAGAACGTGAATGTACTGCTGACGCATACTGTTCTGGGGAGAAGATTAGCGTGATGCAGTGCTCCTGTGTATGAACACCGCTCCCCCTCCGCCGCCTGCCCTCGAGGGGTTAACGCCGGCGCCTCCAGCGCCGCCGCGCAGCCCCGCTCCAGCCTCGTCCCGCTTCCCCCTCCATCCTCCCTCCTTCCCTTCCCTCCTCCTAACTCTCCCCCACCCCCCACCCCTCCCCTCTCCCCTGGCCGCTTCCTCCCGCCCCCTCTAGACGAGGGAAGCGGGCCGGCGAGCTGGCGGGCGGGCGAGCTGGAGTGAGCGTCAAGTGAGCTGCCGCGCGAGTCGCAGGCGTTCGCAGCTATTTTGGTCCGGTCGGTCGCAGGGAGCCACCGGGTGGCCGTTGATAGGCTGGAGCGGGAGCCGGGCTGCTGCGGGAGAGACCGCACCGCCCCCGCCGCGCGGCACCCGCCCCTACCCCGCCCGCCCTGCACGCAGGCACCGGGCACCCCCTGGCACTGGGTGAGGTGGGCTCAGGGGCCGGGAACCTGGAACGCAGCGGCCCGCGGTCGGGCTGCTGCAGATGGCCAGCCTCCCGCCCGGACCGCGTCATCCTCACCCCCGCCGACTGCTGACGGGGCGCCTGGCCGCGCGGCTCCAGCCGCGTACGCAGAGTTTGGAGCTGCACTGTGGGGACGCGGGGGCGGCTGGAGGGGCGAAGACCCGGAGCCTGGGCTGCTGCATCCAGGCTTCTCCGTCCTGCCACTCCCTCGCAGATCTCCTCACCCCTTCTAGGTTTTAACTAGGGCTTTAAATGAGTTATTGCGGAGGAGGCAAACAGTGGAAGGAAAGACCAAGTGCGGGGAGCTGGGGAATGACAACCTGGGACAGCACTATGGCTGGCAGAAAGGATCGAGGTGAACTCCCAGAGCCCAGGGCACAATCTGTTCATTCACCGAGCCGCAGCCGCGGCTTCTCACTCTTCACGGCCCTATGACGCGCCTTTCCGCACCTGCCCCAGAGGACTGCGCCGGGGCGGGGGTCTTAACCCTTCGGTCCCAATAGTTTCATTCACCTGCTCCTCTTCCTTGCTGGGCTTCCTGAGAACGGTGCAGCAATTTGCCCCTGTTTGTAGAGAGAGGAGATCCTGAGGCATTTTAAAGACCAGTGTAGAACAAGACTAGGTCAGCCTTTTCCCAACCCCAAAACAGCAGCCCCTTTCTTTGCCTAGTGGGGGTGGGGCCATCTGTGTTGAAGCCGTGGGAAGCCCTTCGGGTAGAATTTGGCCTGGGTTTAGTATTGCTTTTTCTCAAGGGCTATCTCCAGACCCCTCCCCCCACCACTGCCTCACCTTGTCAAGCTTGCTTGTAAACCCTCCTCACCTGCACTTGAACTACTGACTGAAGAACTGAGAAGTCCTGGATTTCTCAGCTCTCCACACCGTATCTCAGTATGGTTTGCTGCCAGTAACCTGAGCCTCCTCCTTAAATATGCTAGGGATTCTTGAAGTCCTGGCAAGTTGGAGTCCCCATTGTTTACCAAGACGTTTTTATTATGCATTTGCAGTCAATACGTTGCCTAGGGTCACAAAGTAAGTGGTAGAATCAGGATTTGAACTCTGGCAAAGCTCAGGTGTCTATGAACTTGTGATTCCCCAGAGTTCTCTCCCAGTTGGTGAGATCTCAGGTTTCATCCAACCACTTAAACAGTTATTTACTGGGATGTTTCATGTTCTCCATTATATTAAGGATGGATAGGTGTGTGTGTGTTCTTGTTTAATCTTCATTCACCCGGTGAAGTAACTGGCATTGTTGTCTGTCTCCATTTACAGATGAAAGTACTGGGCTCAGGCAAGCAAATAATATGCTTAAAGTCATACACCCAAAAAGCAACAGTCAGCATTTCAATTCAGTCTTCAAACCCTGAGCCCAGTGTTTTCATGGCTGTAACAAAAATGTCCAATGTGTCTACTCTGCATAGAGGAAATAGTGGAGGCAAAATTAAAGGTAAGACTATTAAAAAGTTCAGTGAGAAAAAAGAATGAAGGGTGGGAGAGAAGGGGATGAGAAAATAGATCTTTTATTTAACTTGTTTCATTCACAATGACAGATCAAGAGAAAGAATGAGAGACATTGAAGTAAGTCTTACCCTGATAGCCTGGGCTCTTCAGCAGCTCTTTGTTTTTTTGACTAAAGCCCCATCTGCACATCATCAGCTTCAGCAGGACACTACCATCTTATGGGCCCAGGAAATGTAAACCTAGCCTGACAGGGATCTGTGGAGGAGAATCAGAAAGTTGCTGGTGAGAGGTTCCTCTCCTTGCCACATTTGATATCAAGTTGTTAGAGTGCCAGAGGGTACCCTGACCAAGGTCTAGATGGTACACTGGAGTATGGCTACCCCACCCTCCTCGGGCAAAAGAGGATCTCTGTCTGGGCTGGTTTTCTGCCAGTGTAGGCAAACTCTGGCTCCATCTGTTCAGCTCCAGGCCTAGCAAATGAAGGGTTCTGCCCCAGTACTGTGTAGGTGGATAGAAGGGTGGGCTACTTTGGATCAAACCAGTACTCAGTGATCAGGTTGTCTCCCAGTAAATATTTGTAACTAATTGATGAAATTGAATGTGCCCAAGCTCTATGCAGCCCGTGGAGTTCTATATAGGGCTTTTGTCCTCTGCTGGCCAACCAACTAGGCTGAGAGAGCACCACAAACTGAGGGGGCTGTGAGGCCATCGCAGCACACAACCGTTCTAAACTTAAAGTGGCACTGTAACCTGAGTACCACCTAGTCATTGTCTGTTGCTCCACATAGCCCCTGGTTCTGACTGCTTCCTTGATTTGAAGTGTTGGGACCAGGGAATAAAAAGAAAAGGAAAGCTTAAACTTTGAGATGAAGAGAAGGAAAAAATGCTGGGTTGAGAATGTTTTCACTTCTGGTTTTACAGAGACTGCTGTGATAAAGACAGGGAGACTGAAGAAGGCAGCCAGTGATTGGGCAAAGCCTGCATCAGTAGCTTGGTACCAGCACTAAGATTGAGATACCTGAATTCTAGTCTCCTTTCTGCCATGGATTCGACATGTGAGAAATCTTAAAATAGCTCTAAACTTTGGTTTCTTCATTTATAAAGTTAAGGAAAGGACTAAAATGTTCCTTCCAGCTCTCATAGTCCATGATTTCTACCCCTTCTCTGATATGTGGCTCTGAAGAAGGTTGAGCCTTTGGGATTGTAGCCAAGTCTTGGAAATGAGCCATGAAGTTGAGAAGAGAATGCTTCTTTCAGTTTAATCTAGCCATCCACAGTGCCAAAGCATATCAGTGTTTTCCCAGCTACTAAAAAGGCTCATAGATCACAGAATGTTAAAGCTAAAAAGGACCTTGGAGATCATCTGAACTTAACCTCTCATTTTACAAATGGCATTAATGGAAATCAAACAGTCATAGTGACTTACCTAAAGCCACATGACTGTTATCAGAGTCTGTCTCTTCTGAGCTCATCCCCTCAGTCAAGATGACAGTGTATGGCTAATTGTCATTTAAACCTGGGGGTTGGAAAATATTCCCAAATGCCTGTCTCCTGTGGTCTTGTATGCAGGTGCTGTCATTGTACTTTACTGGACTAGGATAAAGATGGGTCTTTGTAGAGCAGTGTGCCATTCTGAGTAACTCTGAACCCATAATAAGAAGTGGAAGGAAAGTTCATCCAGGGGACTCTTAAGAGGACTCAGGACTGCCTCACCCAGCCTGATAATTGGGATTTTTGGTAAAGCCCAGGGCTAGACAGACCACTCCCAGCCCAGACTTGCAGCCCTGAGGCATTATCCCTGAGTAGCCACTAGATGTCCATAATGCCTCACAGGGTTTGCTGCCAGTGAGCAGTCTTGGCCAGGGTACTATCTTGGTTCCAATAGGCTTTGGGGCCCCTTAAGGTAGGCCCACCAGTGGTAGGAAGATCACATATTTCCCAAAGCTCCAGTTCCTGTTTGCAATACTGTCAGGCTGCCAAATTGTACTCCAGCACCTTTTCCATTTTCATACTCCATGTGCTGGCATTTTAGTTGAGAACAGAACAAGAGCAAAGGAGAAAAGGGACTTTGGAAAATAGGAAGAAGAAAAATAGTATGGAAATGGGTCTCTACAAAGGAAAGGAAAGACATCAATTGATTGGTGAATTGATGACAAAACAGTATAATGGTCTATGTGGATATAGTCACCTCCTCTCCTACCCAAGGCAGTGAACACATCGAGTGTGTGTGGTGTGTGTGTGTGGTGTGTGTGTGTGTGTGTGCGCGCGTTTGCTTGCATCTTTCACTCCCACCCATGTGTGTGAATACCCCTCCAGGGTAGGCTGATCAGGA